AAAGAGAGCAAATAGATTGTGTTCCCAGGGTCGGGTTCCCTTTCTGAAACAGCCTTGGAATCAGCTAACGGGAATTGGGTCTTCTGCCATTACCATGTTCTGTTCCCCCACTGCTTGCTTCCCTTCCACTCATTACGCTGTGGGCCTGTTACATGTGACAGGACACGGGTGAGTGCTCGAGACACTGAATCACTCAGCATGAGTTTCCAGTGACTTCACCTGGTGGTTCCTGTGTGACCTTGGGCAAACTGTGTAATGTCTCTCCTCTATAGGTTTTCTTTGATAAAGCAGGTACGTTTTGCACAATGCCTTGCATATAAGTGTCCAGTAGATTTTAGCTGCTAGTGTCAACAATATGAATATTACTGATGTTACTCTTTTAGGCTAACAATGAGCGTTTTAAAAATGATAATTTCTGTAAAGTGTTTGACAAACTATCTAGTATGTGGCAATAACTTTGATAATGTATGTAATAGGGAAGAAAAGACCAGATGTGTCTTGTTCAATTGCTCTAAGTTGTAAGCATAGAGTACAATCATAGTTAACTACATTCCTCATAAAATATTAATAATAATTAGAGTGATAACATTTATTGAACACTTACTTGTTCAAGGAAGTATTTCAAACACTTTATATATAGAAGCTCATTTAAGAATTAGAAAAACCTCATGAGGCAGGAAATACTGCTAACACTATCGTACTGTAAGGACATTGGAGTACAGAAAGATCAGGGGCTGGGAAGGGAAGATGGCTCAGTCAGTAAAGTGCTTGCAATCATGAGAGCTGCATCTGGATCCCCAGCCACCCCTTTAAAAGCCAGGACTGCAACGTACGCCTAGACTCCCAGTGCCAGGGAGGAGAGGGAGGAGGATCCCTGGGGCTTGCTTGCCAGCTGGTCTGGCCAAATTGGTACTTCTACCTTCAGTGTGAGGCCCTGTCTCAAAAAATAAAGTGGGACTGGGCGTGGTGGGACATACCTTTAATGGCAGAGGCAGAGGCAGACAGATCTCTGTAACATCGAGGCCAGCCTGATCTACATAATGAGTTCCAGGCTAGTTAGGGCTACAGGGAGACCCTGCCTCAAAACAAAACAAAACAAAACAAAAAAATAGTGTCGAGCTATCAAAGAAGGCACCCACCATCAGCCTGTGGTTTCCATGTGTATCCATACACAGTATACATACATGTATATACACATACTGAAAGAAAAAAAAAGATATAATGATTAAAACTGGCCAAGACCACACCTTAGGATTTTGAAACAGATTTTTAAAAAATATTTTATCATTTTTTTAATGTATATGGGTGTTTTGCCTGCATCTGTGTTAAGTGCATCTGTGTGATGCAATGCCCATGGAGGTCAGAAGAGGGTGTTGGATCCCCTGGAACTAAAATTACAGATGGTTGTTAGTTGCTATGTGGGTGCTGAGAGCCAAACCCAGGTCCTCTCCAAGAGCAGCCAGTGTTCTTAACCACTGAGCCATCTCTCCAGCCCCAGAATAGAGGTATGGCACAATCGGATATACAATTTTAAAGGATCATTGTGTTACTTCTAACTAGATCTGGAAGGTCTAACAAATCAAGCATCAAATGTGTACACTGTTCAGAGCCCCAGAGAGACACAAGTCTAAATGGCTGGTCCTATGGCTCCAGGGTTACTAGAGGCTGTCATGACACACAACTCTAGGGATGCCTTCTCCTGGTGGTCTTGTGGCTTTCCTTGGAATTGAAAAAGAGGAGAGGCCCAAGGCAAGGATGAGGATCTAGGGACAGCATGAAGCGGCTGTGGAGGATGTATCAGTAGAGTTCTGGCCTAGTCCAAGAATCAAGGAAATTTATACTCTATGGCCAACAGTGGCCATTACCAGAGGGATGGACCACTGGTGATTTCCATTCCTTTTAGAGAAATGACAGAGTTTAGAGAATGCTGCCTGCCTACCAAAGGGCATTTCATAAGCCTGCAAAGTCTGTCTTCTTGAGTGAACCCTTTTGTGTGACTGTCAAGAGAAGCTATGATCCAGTTGACAATATATCTGTCAGGTCACCAGTTTACTCAAAGCCATCACGTCCTTCCTTCAAAGTTTGCGGGGGAGTTAACTAAATGACAAGGGAGCATCCTGAACTTTTAGGCTGGCTCATGTCATTAAGCTGAAGAGTAATGTAAACGAAGGCATTTTTGTCTTTATTTCACAGCCTCCCTCTTTTTACAGTTATGTGACTAATTCTTTCCTGAGGCATCAGAAATAAACGTTTTAGAACTAAATGGTAGCTGGGAAAGAAAAGCAAATATTCTACAGAATAAACAAGTGTTGGCTGACAGTGTTCTAGGTCCTTCTTTTCTGGTTCCTCAAAGATTAGCATATTTTAGGACAGACTACTACTGTCTCTTCCAGAATACACACTATATGACTGTCTGTGGCAGCCCAATCCTGTTGGAAATGTATATATATCACCATGAAAGTGGGACTCATGTCTCTGTGGCTTTGATTTAAGCCAATTTCCTTTTATTTGGCCTTCTTTGGACATGGAGAAGAGCAGGTCAGCATCTTCCACATTCCAGGGTCTTTAATCAAATTACATCTTACCCGCCTTTTCTTCAGGCTGAGAAATTCCACCTCTTTTGGCCCTTCCTCACATGATTTATTCTCTATCCTTTTAATCATTTTGGTTGAACTTTTCTTGGACCATCTCCAGAGGGTCTTAGCTAATTCCTTTCATAAAATTTTAGGAAGTCATTTCCTTTGAGAAAATCAGAAAAAAATCTCTATCTCTCTCCCCCCTCATCCCCGCCATCTCCATCTGTCTCTCCATTGTCTGATTTCTGATTTTGGAATCCTGGGCTGAGGGGACTTTTCAACCCTTTTAATAGTTTCCAGCTTAATGGCTTATATCTGGACATTAGAAACAATTTAATTTTTTTCCTGTCGTTTATTACCTTTTTGTACTATAGAGAAATAAAACAGTTCAGATGGAAGAGTGAGAAAGAAGGCAAATTCTCAACAGAAGGGACGCGACTCATGGTGAACTCATGTGGGCATTCTGGGCTGCCTGTGTTGCTGGGCTGGAGAAGATACCGTGGTTCTGTTAAACGTGGAAATGCAGAAGGGATCTCTGTACTCCATGACCACGCTACATAAGCAGTAGGCCTGGTGGGGAGGTGTCTTGCTATGTGGATCCAGGCTTTCAAATGATTTTACTTAGCCAGAATCACCTTGGGAATGTCAGCAGCTGGTCATTTTCTGGGTCATTTTCTGAGCTAAGAGTGCTAGCTCCAGGCCTCCACATGACTACCCACTCAGAATGTACAGAAATCCAGATAGTATTCTTTTTTCTTTTCCTTTTATTTTATTTTATTTTATTTTATGTGTATGTGTGAATTGCCTGCATGTTGGTAAGTGCACCCATGTCGTGCAATGCCCATGGAGGTCAGAAGAGGCTGTTGGATCCCTTGGGACTGTAGTTACAGACTGTTGTTAGCTGCCATGTGGGTGCTGAGATTCGAACCCGGGTCTTCTGCAAGAACAACCAGTGTTCTTAATCACTGAGCCATCTCTCTAGCCCCAAGTATTCTTTAAAAAAAAAAAAAAATTTTTTTTTAAAACTTTATATACTGGTAGTACTGCTACCTTCCTCCTGGAAGTTCTAACAGCCCAACAGCCCCGTGGTATGTGACTGGAAAGCATCCTTCCAGCTCTCTGCTGCCTGGCCCTTCCTCTCCCAGGGCACACATTCCTGTGTGGCACAGGAGGAGCCCTAGGGAAGAGAAGCAGCTCACTTTTCTCCTTCATTCCCCTAACTCAAAGAGTTAGTATTTTTGGTGGCTGGGCATTCTACATCATGGTCCATTTCTTTGGTGACAAAACTACCTTTCTAGTGTGATGACAGCCAAGTCACAGCTCCATTCTCACACATAAAAGAATGACCTTTCTTAATGATGCCAATGTTGAGGTCTACAAAAGAAATCCCTTTTGATGGTGAAATTGTAATTGTGGAGTGCTACATTTATTTTTCTTTGCTTTTCTTTAAAAGTTTAGTTAGGCCAGAGGTGGTGGCATGTGCCTTTAATCCTAGCACTCAGGTGGCAGAGGCAGTCAGATCCATGTGAGATCAAGTCCAGCCTGTTCTACATAGTTTGGAGAACCTGTCCCAAAATTAGTTAATTAAAATAAAATTTTGTTAACATTCTTATGAAAGATGTTTCTTCATATTGAAAATGATTTCAGCTGATCTTTGTTAAAGGCTTACTGTGTGATGAGTGACCTACATAGATTTAATCCTAAAGGTTTACTATACGCTGAGTGACCTACATAGATTTAATCCTTCCAGGTAGGTTCTACAATTAACACTTTATTGATAAGGAAGCTTTGAGTTTTTAGAGAGCTTGAATAATTTGTCCTCAATTAGCCATGTGGTAAATTTTGAACTTGAGCAGTTGAACTTACCCATGCACTTAGCACTGAGCATCTTCATGACTTGCTGAATTTGATTCCTAAGTCCAAAAAGGAATTAAATTACTAATATTTATCAAGGTCTTACTGCGCATCAGGGTCTACTTTGAGTGCTATACATGGATGAGGTGTTTTGTCAGCAATCTTGTTGATCAAAACCTTATCAGGTAGATGCTATGATGATCGCACTATTTTGTTTAAGGAGAATGGAGGCTCAGAGAAGGGGAACAACTTGCTTGGGGTCACAGAGCAGGTGAGCAATGGAGCTCAAGTTTATACCTACACAGTCTATACTTACCATATGTCTGTGATCTTTTCTATAATCCTAAATGTTTTATGTGTGGGTCTGAGAGCCCTGTCCTGCCCTCAGATGGGAATAACCCTGATTAGCAGCCAGGAAAGAGCGCATGACACTGGAGCAGCCTGCTAGGTGGATCAGCTCGGCCTGGGCACTTTCTGTCATCTTGTGCTCTTCTCACCCCCACCGCCTTCTAATCACATAACTTTACTGATTGGCGTTTCTTTCTACCTGTCCTCTGGTTTTCTGTTCAGCTTGAAGCTTTTTATTCCATCTTCACTACGGAGCAGCAAGACCACGTCAAGTCAGTGGAGTACCTGAGAAATAACTTCCGACCACTGCAGGCTCTGAATGACAGAGTGGTGTCCAAGTCAGCGGTCCGCGATGCCTGGAACCATGACCCGACAGACTTCTTGGACAACCCACTAGGGACCGAAGCCTCTAAAGGTAAATTATGATTGAGTGCCCTGGCCTGGAAAAAAGGTGCCTTATTATAAGTTATTGTAAGTTAAAAAGATAACAAGGGACCTGAATTTGAATCCCCAGAACCCACATAAAAGCCAGGCATCTGTATGCATCTATAACCCTAGCCCTAGGGGACAGGCATGCAGAGATGGACCGATCCAGAGCTTACTGGGCGGGCAGCCTAACTAATCAGTTCAAGCACCAGGTTCAATGAAAGGCCCTGACTCAAAAACTCAGGTGGAGACGCTGGGCACACGCCTTTAATCCCAGCAGTCAGGAAGCAGAGGTAGGTGAGATGGAGAGTGATAGAGGAAGACACCTGATGTTGACTTCCAGCCTCCACATACACACACATGCACATGCACTAGCTTGCATATGTTAAACACACACACATGCAAAAACAAGTCAATAAAAAGAGGTCAAAGTTGGCCAAGAATTAGGACTTGATGTTGAGGGCATGTTTCTCTGCTAAAATAAACTTGTCTAGATAATAGAAGGAATGTGGAAATGGGTTCCGTTAGATTTGTTAAAAATTTCAGGGCTGGAGAGATGGCTCAGTGGTTAAGAGCACTGAGTGCTCTTGCAGAGGACCTGGGTTCAATTTCCAGCACAGGAACTAACAACCTCCATAACTCCAGTTCCAGGGGATCTGATGCCCTCTTCTGACCTCTGCGGGCATTGCATGACACGGGTGCACTTACATACATGCAGGCAATACACTTATACACATAAAATAATAAATTTTTTAAAATTCCTCTTTTGACTAGTGGTACTCCATCAGTCATTCTCTCTCCATTTTATTTTGTACTTTCAAAGTGATTAGCAGTGTCTGAAGCAAGCCCTATTGCCATCTTACTTGGTGTTTTGCTTCTTTGTTCGTTTGTTAATTTTTTGAAACAGAACCTCATATAGTCCAGGCTGGTCTGAAGTTTGCTATATATATAAGGATGACCTTGAACTTCTGACCCTCTTGCCCCTGCCTCCCAAGTGCTGGGATTATAGGCATGTGCCACCATGCCTTCTGGTTTACGTGTTATTGGAGATAGAAGCAAGGCTCTGTGCATTGTAGCCAAAAACTCTACCTACTGAGCTACATCCCTACCTTTAACTATTTCTCTGTTGAGATCAGGAATTTTCTCTGAACAGAAATATCAGCATCTTTGAATCGCTCCCAGCACCCCAGCATGCAGGATTCCTGTTCATACCCATACTGAGCAAGCACTCTGACTTCAGCTTTGAACCCCTTCCAGAAGCCACTTGCTTCTTAAACTCCAGATGAGTTTCATTCCAGTGTCTGATAAGCATGTGTATATTACTTTCTAACATCTTAAGGTTTTTCATTTCTGAGTTGTCATGTGAAACAGACATGAGATCCTCTCCCAGGAACTCCTCCTTCAGCCTTTCCTTTCAGCCTGTGTTATAATTGTGACATGCTGCTTGGAGGAATGAGGCTGGTCAAAGCCTAATCCTTGGGAGGAGGAAGCAAGGGAAAAGGAATTTTTGCATTGGTATGAAGAAATGGATATTTGTGGTATTTTCCTTCTTTGGAATTGTGAGTTTGGATGATGTAGGAAAAGCTTATATCCTTTATCAACACTAGAAGTAGACTGTGTTCTCTCTGGTAAGTTCTGGGGAGGGTTTTGTTCCAAGAGTGTCCCAGCCCCTGTTATTATTAGCATATGAGCTTCATAGGTTCTGAAGAATGAGATTGCATTCCTCAAATGTAGACATGCACTTGGGTAATAAGAATGAGCTCACTGACCAGGCCTCTCTATCTGAAATGGAGCTGAAAGAGGAGAGAAGGGCAGGGCAGGGCACGTAGCTCTGTGGTAGAGCACTTACTAGCACGAGTCATGGTCCTGAGTTCAATCCCTGGGGGAGAGGGGTAGGTGAATCTGATCCTTTCATTCCTGTCTATGATTTAAATTTATTTATTTTTATTTTACATGTATGAGTGTATTGCTTACATGTATGTAAGTGCACTCATGTCATGCAATGCCTATGGAGGTCAGAAGAGTGTGTCAGATCCCCTGGAACTGGAGTTACAGATGGTTGTTAGCCCCTTTGTGGGTGCTGGGAATTGAACCCTGATCCTCTGGAAGAGCAGCCAGTGCTCTTAACCACTGAGTCATCTCTCCAGTTACCTGTCTGTGATTTTTGTAGATGATGGTCATCTGGCCAGGTATCCTCAGGGAAGACTTGAGGTTCACGTCTCTGGGGGCTAATACTGCCTCACTAGCTCATTTGCTGATGGTGGTGCTCACAAATCTGTGAGGTGCTTCAGGATTGGGCATAGAAAACCTCACTTGGGCTAACTTTTTTTAAACTTAGCTAAAAATAATTCAACTTGAAGGCTTTTTCCCAGGAGAGCTTGCGGGGAGCAGGGCTCTTCGGGGTTCATTCACTCTTTTGTGAGAAGTCTCTGCAGAGGTCATGCAAGGGATGAGAAATCTGGATCAAGAGGAACTCAAGATCTGGTAGCTCAGAAATGCCGAGAATATGACAGTAACAAAGCTCTTCCCTGAAGACTGAACCAAGCAGATGCTGGATAGATGAGCTGTGCAGAGGGAAAGCGAGGCGTCCATCATCCAGGACAGTTAGAGGGTGATGGTTCCCTTATTAAAGTGTCAAAGAGAACAAGGCCCTCCACTGAATGTGCTCTAAGCTGTGGACCATCCTTAAACATAAACTCAAGTTCATTCCTCAAGGTTTGCTGTGAATATTAACCATGTCCATTGCTAACCCTTAAAATGAGTAAATATTAAAATGATTCCTGATCTTTCTAGAGGCACATGGATGAGAGGGGGGGTGGATAGTAATAGAAATAGTTTATTAAGTCCTTAAGTCCTGTCTTACTGTCAGGGCCCCTTATAGATCACTTGCCTCTTCCCACATTCAAAAATGGGACTTTTCTTTTCTTTCTTTTCTTTTTTTTTTTTTTTTTTGGTCTTTTTGAGACAGGGTCTCCCTGTAGTCCCAGCTGGCCTAGAACTCGGTATGTAGACCAGGCTGGCCTTGAACTCACAGAGATCCGCCCTCCTCTGCCTCCCAAGTGCTACAATTAAAAGCATGCGCCACCACGCCCAGCAGACATGGGGTTTTTCTTGCATTTGCTGTTTCACTGTGTGGCCCAGGTGGGGAGGGGTCTCCGTCTTTCTGTCAACTAGCTGCTTTCATGTGTTAGTCTTGCTGCCTCTTCTCCTCACCCAACTCCCCTGCCACATGCTGACAGTATACAGATGAACAGGAGATGGACTCTAAACATTTATTATATGTACTAGAGCATTTCACGAACTCGAGTTCCCAGGACATGCAGCTTATATAGATACCTCCTCATAGATAAGCGGTGACAGAGAACACAGAAACTTGGGGAAAAAGTGATTTCTCAAAAGCATGCACATCTGATGTGGTGCCCGTCAGTCTCCGCTTCTGTGATGCAAGTGAGTCTTCCCCAGTTAGTTTCTGCGGAAGGGATTCATGACCATTGATCATTTTGTAACATCTGTTGTTATGCAGACAAGGAGAACCCAGAGAAAGCCCCTCCTGCATTTTATCATTCCCCAGATGCCCTCACTTTGAAGTCCAAAGTAGCATATTTTGGCATAACATTTCCTGAACTCTTTAGAAATATTATTACACGCTTCTAGAAAAGTATGCATGTAATATGTGCACACCTTGATGAATTAACACAAACTAAATCCTCCTGAATAACAAACACTCAGATCAAGCAAGTTCCATCCACAGTATCCCAGGATCATCCACACCCACTTTCTGATGTGTGTTCCCAATGGTAACCACCACCAGATGGCGTGTGCTCAGCATATCATCTCTGAAGAGTCCTCTTTTGTGTGTTTGCTCCACGTCTGTTTTGAGAATTATCTGTGATGTTGTGTGGAATAGTAGTCTGCCCATTCTGATGGCTACATTCTATCATGTGACTATTCCAGAAAGTGGTTCTCCCTACAGTGTACATGATTATGAGGTTTTTTTTTCAAAGTTTCAATGATTATGCAAAATTCTTGGGCTTTTTAATGAGTATATAGACACTTGACTAATGGAGATATACCCAGGCCACATTTTCTAATACACTTGTTTGGTGTTGCTTAAACATCCCCAGTTTCCCAAAGTGTTATATACATTTTTTCATACTTCTACTCTACAGTATAGGAAAGATTCTGATTATTTATTCCTTTATTTTGAGATCCTGGAGATTAAACCCAGAGCCTCACACATGCTAAGCAAGTCCTCAACTACCGAGCCACATCTCCAGCTTGCCTGATCTTTCTGTTTTTAAACAGCTTTTAAAAATGTAGGCATAATTTGCATGACATAAAATTCTACCATTGCAAATGTATCGTTGATAATTGTTAGTGAATTTGTACTTGTACAACAATCACTGCAGTCCAGTTTTAGGACATTTCCGTCACCCTGAACTCTCATTTATAGCCACTTCTTTCTTGCATCCCCAACCCAAGGCAACCGTGATCTGTTTTTGTTTTTCCAGTGTTATTAGGATTTAGGGATTTATCCCCATTTTTTAGGGTATCTGCAGATCATTCCTTTTAATTGCTGAGTTGTGCCTTTGTTTTTAGTAATAGCTTTATTACAATTTAATTCACAGACCAAGAAGTTTATTATTTTAAGTGTCCACTCAGTAGATTTCATGTGCTCACCAAATTATGGAATGATATCTGCTGTCTAGTTCCAGAACACTTTCATTACTCCAAGAAGAAACTCCACCCCTTCAACAGTTACTTCTATCCTCTCTTCCTTTCCTAGCACACCTTTCCTCTCCTTCTGGCAACCACACATGTACTTCCTGCTTGTATGGGCATTTCATATAAACAGATTATAGAATACGACTTTTTTCACTTAATGTAATATATGTGTATGGAACATGTATCAGAAATAAGTGCCTTTATATGGTCAAATAATATGCACTATATAGACATACAACATTCTGTTCATTCATGTGATATGAG